TTTGAATCTATCATTTTTGTTATTCATGCAACAAATGAAAATGATGTACTCAAACAACGTAACAAAGATCAGCTCTACAACCTCCATTAGCGCAGAAACTGATTCTTAGAAATAAATATCAATACTCAACAAATCCTTCCTTTATGTTCTATCGGACATTTTGAATTTTGAAAATCCGATCTCAGATTCGTGATCAGCGACTCGAAAACTGGTGGAATACTGAGTATCAGAATGATTTGCCTAATTTTTAATAATTTCGACCGCCATATTGGATCGGCCATTTTGAATTTTGAAAATCTGACCTTAGATTCGTAATCAGCGGCGAAAATAACCTTGGAGTATAGACTTTCTTGAAAATAATTCCTTTTAATATGCATTTATAAGGATTTTTGTCGTTTGATCGTCCATATTGGATCGGCCATTTTGAATTTTGAAAGTTGCAATGCAGATTCTAAACGAGTATAGGCCTCTGTCCCAAAATATACCTTTAGCAACAGTTCTTCAATTGCATTCATTTTCATTAAAAATTGACGTGGTTACAGAATTTTGACGCCTCTTACTACATTTTGCCCCACTGTGGGACGTCTTAGACGTCTTTTGGACGTACTTTTTACATTCCTTCAGATCTTAAATAAACATCTGTTTTTTAACATTTCCTAAGTTGAAACTCAGTAATATTGTATTAAATTTATTTTAAGTTTAATTTTATTTTTTCTAAAATGTGGAGAAATAATGAAAAAATTCCTACGAAGCTGATTGTGAGATCGAACTCGGATACCTTGGGCTTAAAGCACTGCGTCTTAAGTAGAGGAGAACTAGGCGAGGCAGCCAAGACGGCACATTTTGGTTTGCGGGGCAGTTATTTAAATAGGTTTTTTCAATTTTAATATCGCGTTAGAAAGCTTGTCTTTTTGGGTAAAAAATCGCCATAGAACATTTTGACGTAGGTTGCACTTAAAAATGTCTACAACCCTTTTCCCAAAGGACCACATTTTGGCATATTTGCAAAAACGTGGGGTGAGGCGGACAACTATTTTAATAGTTAGAAAAACATAACTTAAAGTTAAAATTAATTAAACATAACAAGGTAGTTGTCCATAACTTACTTTTATTTTGTTAGTAAACTTCAAAATTTTACATTTGAATAATATTATAATAATAACATTAATTAAATTCAATTTAACATTTTAAGGAAATATAAATTTTTTATTCTTAAAAAATGGTTTATAAAATTCAATTTTAAGTTTAAAATGTAGTGAAGTAGGAAAAAAGAGAAAACATTTAGAAGAACCAATAAAATTAACACAAAAGGACGAAAAATTTAGCGTTGGCTGCCTAACCCTACGAGTACTTTTTTAAGAAAATGTTCACAAAACCCGTAATATTAAAAATATCGCAATTCCATTAACACTATCGTCTTCAGCACTAAATTCTGCATTGAAAATCACTTTACAAGAATTTCATTCGTGTAACTCTATTAACTAAAATCACCAAAATAACTCTTAGAAAAGTTTCATCCAAAAATTCTGTTTTCATAAATGATACTGTCACTGCTAAACTGCTGCAGCAATAATTCCCATCTGTTAGCAACAAACTAAAGTAAACTACCATTAAGCTGTCTACATTATTAATAGCGCACGATTTGAAAAAAATATGCAGTCCAAGTTGAACTTAGAAAATAATATTTTCTATTTATGGAAATATTTCTATTTTCACATGTTGAATGAAAAAGAAGTCTTTTAGACATCTAATGGCCAAGACAAAGAACATGTATAGGACGTCTTTAAGCTGTCTTAAAGACCTCATTTTGTACAAGTCCAAAAGACGTCCGCAAAAAGACATCTTTAGGACGTCTTTTGAACAAGTGGGCCCACTGGGGATACGCAGAAAGTTAATTTATTTTATCGCTTTGCATATAATAAAGCAACATTTAAACAATATTTCTCGAAATTTTAATTAAAAAATATTCAGAATTAAGCGAAATAATAAGATTTTCCTCAGGCGCTTAAAAAAAATTGATTTGCAGTGTACACTCTAACTCGCAATAGAATCATCTAAAACAAAAAAATAAAATTGCATTTGTTAAAGGAGATGTTTTTTGAGGTAACGCTGGGAGGAATTTTTTTTATTTTTTGTAGCACTTGAAAGCCAAAAAGTCGATTTTTGCTATAAAAAAATCGATTAATTTGTTATTTTAAAATTGCCAATTTAACCCTTTAACGCACAAATGTGCTGATTTTTAACTTCGGTTTCAAGCTCATAATATTAACCCCTTGGCAGTCGATGACGTGTATACACGTCATGGTGAAGGTGGGCTCAAACTGTCGATGACGTGTATAGACGCAAGCAGGTTTTTGGCTACAAAAACAAAAAGATTTGTCCACAGATTGATACTCGGGGGTTTTCGGGGTCGGTGATTACGAATCCGATCTCAGATTTAAAAAATTCAAAATGGCGGATCAAATTTTGCGGGCGCTATTTTAAAAAATTTATCACATTTACTTAAAACTTGTTACTTGGGGTTTATTGATGTCGTAGATTGAAAATGTAATATAGGTTCTAAAAATGGCGGATCTAATATAAGAACTGGTCATTTTTTGATGTCACTATTGATGTCGTAGATTAGAAATGTAATATCGGTTTTGAAAATGGCGAATCCAAAATAAGTACAAACAAAAAAAATATAAAAAAATAAAGGAATGTAAAATCCGACCGCATTCCTCCCCGTGGTACACTCTGGGGTCGTAAGTAACGTAGTATACTTACCAGCTGACTGCGGGGGAGAAATTTGGTATTTTTTATCGTTTAAAAAGTTTTTCGTAATCAGCGAAAACTCTCTAGTAACAAGTTTCAAATGAATCCGATGAGTTTTAGAAAATATCGTTCGTCATATTGGATCCGCCATTTTGAATTTTCAAAATCTGATATCGAATTCGTAATCAGCGACCCCGGAAACCTCAGAGTAACAAGTTTCAAGTGAATCCGATGAATTTTTATAAATGTCGTCCGCCATATTGAATCCGCCATTTTAAAATATTAAAATCTGATATCGGATTCGTAATCAGAGACCCCGAAAACCTCTGAGTATTAAGTTTCAAGTGAATCCGATGAATTTTTAAAAATGCCGTTTACCATATTGGATCCGCCATTTTGAATTTTCAAAATCTGATATCGGATTCGTAATCAGCGAGTTCAAATACAATACGCAAATCAATTTTTTTGGAGTCGCCTGAGTAAAATCTCATTATCTCGCTCAATTTTTAATATTTTTTTATTAAAATTTAGAGAAATATTGTTCAAATGTTACAATATTATATGCAAAGCGATAAAATAAATTAAGTTTTTGCGTATCGCCAAAAAAAAATTCTTAAAAACATGCTATTTTTCACCGTTAAAACCTTACCCCCCTTAATTAAACAATAAAAACTTATAGACTAATTTATAATAAAAATAATGAAAGCAGAACAAGATCATCAATAAACACTTTAACTTTCGTGTCTGGTTGGAAGTTTCGTTCTATCTCCCGTGTGGAAAATACGACGAGGCATTGGGGAGGCCCTAGCAAATCTCCCTTAAGAATCAAAAGGCACTGGCGAGTTAGGAGACCGTATACTGGCGAGCATCTAGCAAGGCTGTAATGCTGTTTCTGGAGAATGCCTTTAATAGGGTCAACTGCCCAGTGCCTTGTATATTTCTGGCCATTGCCTTGTTTGTTTCTGGCCAATGCCTCGTCTTTTCCTAGCTAGTACCTTGTATTTTTCTGTCCAACGCCTTATTATTTTCTGACTAGTGCCTTGCTTTTTTCTTGTAATTGCCTTTATTGTTTATCATAAATGCCTTTATATTAAAAAATATTATTTCAGTTTAAAAAATTCAATTAAAATGTAATATTAATACCCTATTTATATTTTGCAATTAATAAGACTAAAATTTTTTATACAAACAAAATTATTTCAATATAAATTGGAATGTACTAAATAAATTACAAAAAAAATTTAAGTTAAATCCAGATCATTGGAATTATTTATTTTTTTTATTTATTGTTTTGAAGCTGGAAGAACTACACACTCACACACAGTATTACATTTTATTTTATATGTAAATCGTAGTTTAACTTTCTTAAACCTATGCCTATATCGAGAAAGTTTCTAACGCAAGGATTCGAACACCTAACTATATATTGCAAACGCTGGATTTGATGACGTAGGGGACGCAAGGGAAACGCTTTAAACCGCTCGACCATTTCGGAGGTCGGAGAGTCATCGCTTAGAGAAATATTACATTCAAAAAGCAGAGGAAATGCTCTCTATCTCTCTCTCACTTATTGCAATCGAAATATGTACGTTAGAAAAATTCGAAAGATACCTAGAACCCCTGCTGTTCGAGTTTGCTTTTTCTTGCTCATTATATGTTTGGGGAATTCCCATAAGTTGTTTTTACAGGGTGTTTTCACTTTCCTCCATTTATTTTGAAAGCATAATTATTTGTACACAGTAATAATTATAAAACTTACAACAAATACAGGGATTTGTTTCTAAGGAAAATTTTTCAAGTACTTAGTTGAACCATTATAAAACCCAATTCAGTTGAATAGATATAATAGGTAACCAGCTACACTGTAAGTAGTTATGATAACAATTTTAAAACTCTTATAGAAGGACATAATACGCTTCGTACAATAGAAACTTGTGGACATACAAAAAAAATTTTTTCGGTTAAAATCTGAACTGGAATTTTAATTTGGCCTGATGTAGCCTGCACGTAAAATCTATTTCTTTAAAGTTTAGAGCAATAAATAAAAATTAAATTCTGAAAAGTGAGAGTAAAAATACCTGCCCAAGCATGAGCCAGGGTTCAGCCTGATTACTTACTCAGTGTCATTTTTGACATAGTCAGTAACGGTTTGTTCATTTTACATCTTTATTAAACAAATTGTGTTTTTTTTTGTTTATCTAGTGAAAGTGATTATTTGTAAATTGTGTAGGAAAATACATACAAAAATGTCTCAATCCAAATCCCCGGGTAAGTAATTTATCAGTTTTAAAAAATAATGATGGTATTTGTCACAAAAACCTAGAATACAATCAAAACAAATTTTAAACAATAATTATGAAATATAACTTTAGGTAAACTTGAAATTTACGAGTATCAAATAGTCAAATTTGATGATGAATCGGTGGATGTGTTGCCGAATGTTTGGATCAAATACGATTATAATTCTGGTTGCATGACCGCCAAATACATGTCTCCTCCATATAATGAAAGTTGTTTAAAAACATTGAATCGAATGATACAATTGAAAATACCACCGTCTGTGGACCCTGTTCTTTCTTGGCCTTATTATAATATTTCCTTAATAGGTCAAGCCAGTAAGTTTATTTTTACATTGAATATATATATATATATATATATATTGTGTTTAACGGAACAATAAATTATAAATTATTATTTAACTTTTTTGTATAGAAAGTTTAGAAGAAGGTGAAGAGAAGATAAGACTTTTCCATTCAACGTACAATCGAAAAAGGGTAGTTTTTACTGAAGATTCGGATTACACACCTGAGGAAAAAGCGAAGAAAATAGAGGAAAAATTTCGACAAATGCAGCAAAATAATAATGTTGATATATTAAAAGTTCAACGAATAGAATCTGATACATCAAATTCAAGTCATGAGTCTTCAGAAGGCGAAAATGATTGTGAAAATTTGTTTAAAAAGAAAAAAAAACAGATTGTTTATGTTGGTAAAAAAACTACGAAGTCTAATAATGGAAAAAGAAAAAGATCTAGTTCCAGTGACGAAAGTTCACAAACTTTAGAAGATGATACAAATGTTAAAAAGATTAAAAAAGTAACAAAGGATAAGCATCTAAAAGAAAAGAATGTAATACAAAATGGTGAGTAAAATAAAATAAGTAATAATAATATTATTATTTTCAAAAGAAATAAAATTTTTCGCAAAAATTCAAATTAGCGGATGGGAAGAAGAACTCGCCGAGCGCCCGACCGAAAGGGATAATTCCAGTCAGGTAGCAGTGTGTGGCCCAAAAGCGCTCACTGCTACCTGACTGATATTATCCCTTGCAACCGCGCGTTCTTCTTTCCATCTGCTCAATTATGTTCAAAAATTACTATAAATTCTCGTGAAATATTAAATTATTTTTATATTAAAGTACGTCGAAAGAATTCAATTATTTAAAAATTTGTTTATAAAATTCTTTATGAGAATTCAATTTTAAAAAATAGTCAAAATTATTTAATAAATTATTTTTTTATCTATTTAAATAATTGCCTTCTCGTAGAATGTTCTAATTGAAATTCATATAAACATTATTTTCAGTTAAAATTTTAGATACATTGAAAAAAATTTCTAGTAGATTTGACTATTTTTTAACTACTCTGAATATTAAAATCATTAAAGTATGGATTTTTATAAATAATTGAATTTTCAAAAAGTTTCAAATTAAAATCTTTGAAAATCTAAATTTTTTATACTTTTAACTAACAACTCTGTAGTTATGTTAATGTTAATATGTATTTAAAATATTTTTAGATGATAATACCGATATTACATTATCTTCTTTAAGTGGAGTCCTTCAAAAAAATAGCTCAAGTCCTACATCTATAAAAAATGATAATAAAAGAAGTGGAAATGTAGACGGTGTTAATATAAATTCGTTAAAAAATAAAAACTTTGGAGAAGATGCTTTTTTTGAAAAATTAAATCAAATTTCTTCTGGTAATGTATTAAGTTTACTATTAAAGAATGGGAGAATGCGAATGGGAAGAAGAACTCGCCGAGCGCGCGGTTGCAAGGGATAATATCAGTCAGGTAGCAGTGTGTGACCCAGAGACGCTCACTGCTACTTGACTGTTATTATCCCTTGCAACCGCGCGCTTGGCGAGTTCTTCTTCCCATCCGCTTATTTGGATTATTATTTAGTTTTTTAAATACTAACTTTGTATTTTTGCTTTCCAGAAAATCGAGCTATTAGTCAACAAGTAAAAGAATTTGATTATGAATTATCAGAAGCCATGACTAGAATGAGGCGTATTGAACAAATGCTGGAAACAGTCTTAGAAAAAATGGGGATGCAAACAAATAGAGGTTTTGCAGTGGACAATAATTTAAACTTGCCATTTGAAGAATATGAAGAGTTTAAAGCATTTGATGAAAAGTTGTTTACAGATCAAGAGTTTCAGAAAAATTTTGTGAGTATTTTTAAAATTTAAATACAGTGCCGCTCAATCTCTTTTTAAAGCTCTTTTCCTGAGCTTTAACATTGTATAAAGCAAAAATTAAAAAATTAATTTGTTAATGTTTAAAAAATGTTATTGCAACATAAAATTTTTCGTTTTTTTTAAAGTGATACAGTTTCATAGGAAGTGTTCGCATTTTAATCACACACACATATTTTCTGAAAGCTAGTTTTATCACCTTTAAAATGCATTTTTTAAAATTTTTATACGATAATTTTTAAGAAAAATATGATTTTTTGTTTAAAAAATTAGTCATTTTTTTCAATTGTTGATAACTCAAAAACGGTTACTTTCAAAAAAGTCAAAACAAATTTTTTTCTAATTCTGCACACAAAAAGGAACAATTTATGTTTTTAAAATTTTTTTCCTAAAGTAACCGATTTTGAGTTATCAACAATTGAAAAAAATGGCTAATTTCTTAAACAAAAAATCATATTTTTCTTAAAAATTATCGTATAAAAAATTTTAAAAAATGCATTTTAAAGGTGATAAAACTAGCTCTCAGAAAATATGTGTGGGATTAAAATGCGACCTTTTCCTATAAAACTGTATCACTTTACAAAAAAAGGAAAAATTTTATGTTGCAATAACATTTTTTAAACATTAACAAATTTATTTTTTTAATTTTTGTTTTATACAGTATTAAAGCTTAGGAACAGAGATTTAAAAAGAGACCTTTTTGAGCTTTTTATCTTTAATAATAAACAAAATACAAAACTTTTTGTAAAGCCTTCAATCGCTGTAGGGTGCGGGCAAAAGTTATTGAGCGGCACTGTATGTTATAACTTTTTTATTTTCAACATTTTTTAACCAATATTTTCACCATTTTTAACATTAGGAATTTAATTTATAAATAATATAAAAAAGGCCTCCAGACAATAAACGGACAAGCTTGTTGTAAAAAGGATAGTATCAGACAGTTAGCAGCGAGTAACTCAGTGCTTCTCATTGCTACGAGACGCATATTATCCATTTCGACCTCGCGCTCGTCCCTTTATTGTATGGAGGCCTTCAAATATTTATTTCCTTTTTAGATTTCTTCCCTGGACTATCTTATGGATGCAAAATTTATCATTTCAAAAAGCATTCTAAATATATTGAAAAAATATATGTCGAAGCAATTAGCACTTCAATTCACAAATTGTAGAAAATCTGGAGACAAAAAAATTTTAAAAAAATTTACATTTCATAAATGTATTACTGGTACGTTTACAAAAAGTTGACTGAGATTGATAATTAAATATTATGTTACTTATAATTCTATATTACAAGTAAATTAAGAAATTAATAAATTATATTTTTAATACAAATGTATTTTTTTTATTTTCTAAACAGATGCTGTTACAATGTCTCACTTTGATCAAAGAACCAAAAAGAACATATCGGAGAAAGCTGTAAGTGATGGGATTGGAATTGTTCTTTCGAATGTAAAGGATTGGGAAGGAGGAAGAAAGATGCGAAAAACTGCCTAATTAAAACACATATTTTGAGTAGAATATATATATTTTAGTTTTATAAAAAAACATGTTTGACTTTTGGCTATATTACTTATAGCAGTATAAGTACATTTATGCTATGGTCAGACAAGGCTAAAAATCTCATTACTATCTATATAGTATATTAATTTGAATTTTCTCGGCCTAAATTTGATAATTATTAATTAAAAATATTTTTGTAAATTTTATTGAAAAAATTAAATTAATCTTACATTCAAAAAAGTGTTTTTAATTATAAATTCTTATTTTCACAAAAGAAGCGTTTACTTTTTTATTGATGCAGTAAGGGTATAACATAATGCTGAATTTCTTTTCCTTTTTTGAAATTGATACCTAATTTAACTAGCTTACAATTTACATTTTCTAATCTATCAGTTACTTCTTCTTCGTTGACTTCAGTTTCCAATTGCCACATTTTTAATAATTTTGAAATAAATGGGTAATTGAAAATTGGCTTCTTTTTTTGTAGCTTTTTTCCTTTTACTAAAAAGAGTGTATCGTATACTCTTAAAATTTTTTTTATTTCAAAAGTATCATTATTGTTCTTTAGTACTACATTATTCGGAGCTTGGTTTGTAATAGTACACTGTCGAAACATTATTGATGTTATTTCATCTGGTTTTTCATTTAAAATTTGCATAACTGGTGGAATAGTTACTTTCTTCTTAGATGAAATTAATCTCTCTTCGTAAAGTCGTCTACACAATTGAGATAATGGTTTACTTGCTGTTCGAATATACTTCTTTAATTTACCTAAATAACTTTCGAAAGGAAAAGCAGTTATTTCACTCAAACTACACTCCATATTTCGCACATCATCAGCTAAATGAATCAAATTATGAGAATTTATCACTTGAGATTTAAGCCCATAATAACTACCAAGAGCAATAAAAAAAGTTTTTAAGTAATCTTTTGCAATACTAACATACTTCAGGCAATTTTCTTTTGAACATAGTATTCTACATGACGCATGTAATAATAGGAAGTGCTTGTATAATTTTTTATTAAGAAGTTTTTTTAAAACTATTACACCACAATATAACAAAAAAAATCGAAACTCGGTAGCCTTCCATTTTGCAATGTGGTTTGTAGATCTTGTTTTTCGCTGAAATTCACATGGAATTTGAGATTTCAACATTTTCATTTTCCTGCATAATTCTAATCTCTCTAACCGTCTTAATTTATTTTTACCTTTTTTAATCCATTCTTCAAGCAATTTTTTCATTACACCTTCACAACATAGATGCATAAAATCCGAAACAAAGCAGGAGATAATATTCAGAAAAGGATATATTCTTAATAGAGGAGTTTCTTTATTGTGATGTCCAGGCTGCAGTCTTTGCCTAAAAGATTTATTTGTTCTTTCTTTGGCAACTACAGATGGGTAAACTGTTCTTCCATTTTCTCTAAATCCTTGGACCGAACATCTTTCACAAGCATGAAAAGACGTATGACCAGCAGTACATTTTAAGAATGCCCGTGCGGGTGTATCACATACAAAACATTTAAGTTTAATCCGGAAATGTCTGCCTTGAATTTCCATGCCACATTGATGAAGAAAATTAATTTCATTAATAAATTGTTCTAAATAAGCTGAAGCTTCTTTTGGTTTTGATTGTCCAAAGTAAACCGACACACTGAATGGTTTGTATATGTCAGGATCAAAATGAATTTTGCACATAGTGGGACACAGTTCTTGATAACCAGATTCAACTAGTCGTAAACCATCACAAGCTATTTGCAGTTCTATTAAATCATTTACATGATTGTCGATATTTATACATTCTTGAAGTCCAGTAGCAATTCCGAAGTAAACAAATTCACCCATTGTGCCATTGTTATCTTCCATTTCAATTATTTTATATTCTGCACTTGAAGTTCCAAGAAAAGTTTTCGATGATTTCGGAAGATTTGGAATTAAACGCTCCCTCAAAATGCCAAGTAATCCATCTAAATGCGTGTGAGAAATTTGAGTGTCAACTGCCCACTTTTGTATTCGTTTAATTTCCATGTCCTTCTCATTGGGAATCAAACAGTTGGTAGGTTCATTATGCTCTACTTCTGAAGTATCAGTTTCATTTTCATCATCATTACTTGATTCAGCAGTCGAAAGGTTTTCTTCATCTGTATATTGTAATAATATAAAAATGATTAATATTATTAAAAATTCCAAAATTTGCTCAGATATCACGTAATCTTGCAGCTAGCTTGCCGCAGTATTTTATTAAGCTTTTGATGTTTTACCACAGAAAGCTTGCCGTGTAAGCTTGCAGCAAGCTTGCGGTAATATTACCGAAATATTGTGTCAAGATTATACGGCACGACTTTTATGGATAAATCATCTAAAGCTTGTACAAATCTTGCATCAAACTTAGAGCAATGTTACTACAATATTATATGTGATATCTTGGTAGATAATATTATGGAGCTAAATTAATAATTTTAAGGGTTATATTTACCGGCATTATCGTCAGAGATATTTAAACTTCTTTCTTCCTCAAATAAGTTATTTGTTATATTTTCTGAAATTTATTTTTTAATGTCAATATCAGAATTAATATTTAATTTTTAATATGATATATTTGTTTTAATAATATTACAAGTGGGTAGGTAGCTAATATTAGAGTTCTGGCCAAACCAGAACTTTTTTCAGTGTAATGTAAAGAAAAATTAAAAATCTCATACTTGTAACAAAATGTACAATAAAAAATTCAATTACCTTCATTTACGTCGATAGAAAGCTCTTGCTTCATTCGGCATCTTTTAAGGGGACTTTCTGGTTTAGAATTGACAAAAAAGGAAGGTTTTAAAACTTTTATTGTAAGAACAGTATTAAAGAAATTGTAAAAACTATTTTTGGACATTGTAGCACATTGCGTAGAGAAAATTTAAAAAATATGTTTGAGTGTATTTAGTTCAATTTCATAGCTGTAGGTGGCGTCTTCCAAAAGATACCTTTTTTTTGGTACGTTAGATTCCGGGCAACCTGTAATACATAAATTCAAGTTCCAAACGGGAATCTCTTCATAAGGATTTATTCTTGTGCCTAAACCTCAAAAACGATTTTTTTTAAAGGTTTTTTTTATTTTATATGTACATTTTTCTCAAAAACTCGCAAAAACGCCGTGTTTTTGGGTCAATTTACCTCCATATAAAAACACAGGCGGTAGAAATATGAGTTTTTAGAGGTTTAGGCACCAGTTTTTTAAATAAAGAATCGAAAAATTTTTGGGAATTCAAAATCGGTTCGGTAGATTTCGAGAAAAGCTCTGTACTAGTTTGAAAAATGAGTTTTCGAGAAAAACGCGTTTAAAGTTTTCATAACATAATTCATTGAGTCATGAATATCAAACAACTTTTTATTACAACAGAACTTCGTATCCCGCTGTTTTTGGGGTCGCTGATTACGAATTTGATGTCCGTTTTGGAAAATCCAAAATGGCGGATCCAATATGGCGGACGAAAAAATAAAAATTCAACCGGATTTGCTTAAAACTTGCTACTCGGGGGTTTTTGGGGTCGCTGATTACGAATTTGATGTTAGTTTTTGAAAATACAAAATGGCGGATCCAATATGGGGGACAGTATTACTTTCAAAATTGATAATGAAGTATTTGATTCAAACGCAATGCTTTAAGATTTTGAACATATGTTATTCATTCAACAATATCTGCTTTTGGCAGCCCGCAATAGCATATCTTTAGATTCTATAGCATTTTTTTTCAGTGTATATGTATTTAAAACGTTCCTAGAACGTTAATGTTTTGTGCCTATATTCATAACTAGCAATCTCAAAAGGCCACAAGTAACCATTTTCAACTAAATTTAATTAATTTCTTAATCTTTGTCCGCCATATTAGATCCGCCATTTTGTATTTTCAAAAACTGACATCAAATTCGTAATCAGCGACCCCAAAAACCCCCGAGTAACAAGTTTTAAGCAAATCCGGTTGAATTTTTATTTTTTCGTCCGCCAAATTGGATCCGCCATTTTGTATTTTCAAAAACTGACATCAAATTCGTAATCAGCGACCCCAAAAACCCTCGAGTAACATGTTTCAAGCTAATATCAATAAAAGAGGAACACCAAATATGTAAATAAGATAACTGTAGATTGTTGTTGAAATACATACCGTCATAAATATTGTTATAACTTTTGTTTTTGTACATATTTTTTAAAAATCGTTTTAGGACAGTAATTCTATGATACTAAGGAACATTTTTAAGCAAAAAAAAAATCGATTTTTTTGAAATTCTAAACCAGAAAGTCCCCTTAACACGCAGACGGTTAAGCTCGTCTCTTTTTCTTTTATTAAAACTCATGTTTTTAACTTTGTACTTAAAAATATATAGCAATATTTAACCAGAAATGAACAAAACAGAACCGTGTAAAAATTCGCACTGACACATACCTAACCTACAAGCTGAGTCTCAAATATCATGAGTCATGAGTCGACAGAAACGCCATTGCGCGTCATTGACGGGTACTATTAAACAAGGCGTTTAAAAGCATTTCTCGTAAGTGCCTTAACTGCGACTATAACGAGAAAATTTAAATGTCATTCACCAGTAATATTGTCCAAAGCACTAAATAAGCCTTGGATAAAAAGTTCTGTACGAAATTCACGAATAATACTATGTCGAAAACCCTTTTTAATTCATTCTCCAGGAATTCTATATTAGCAAAAGTCCTTTTTAAGGCTTTCGCCAAGAATTCTAAATGGCATTCAGGAGTGATGCTGGTGAAAGCCTTTTTTAAGGCTTTCGCCATTATTTCTCTATGGCATATACAAGTGATTCTGGTGATAGCCCTTTTAAAGGCTTTCGTCAGAAATTCTATTTGGCATTCACGAGTGATTCTGACGAAAGCCTTATTTAAGGTTAAGGCCAGAAATTCTATATGGCATTCACGAGGGATTCTTGAAAAAGCCTTACTTAAGGTTGAGGCCAGAATTTCTGTAAGGCATACACGAGGG